GAGCCGCCAATCGACTACTTTGACAATAATACCGGTAATGACGATTCTCATTCTGATCGAACAAAGTCTAATGATTAAGACACTCAAACAATACCGTAACAGAGAATGATACAATAAACTGTGACCAATTTGCAAATACACTTTACATGCCGATGGTTTACAATAAATATGCTCGTTACAATAACTACATACCATAATTCAGCATATGCACTTTCGATTACAGACCAATACTAGTCCCTTATCGATTCCTACTTGATGTTTCCTTCTTACTCCTTATTTCGAATCATTTGTAAGAATCATAAGTGCTGGCTAGTCCTAAAGTTACGATTATGTTTTTCTCTTATACACGTACCGAGAAAACTCATATCATAAGTCTCATATGATCGAAACTGTGACAACTGAAGAAAACTTGATAGCAGATCCCCAAAAATGGTCTGGAACTGAATAAACTTACACGAGGGACCAATAAAAAAGTCGCGAACTTCGCAACTACTTAGATTCTTCAGTCAAATTCTCACCTTTAGTGAATTCAAGTGAATGAATGAATCTAATTCCCAAAATGTTCCGATTCCTGAATTTAACAACTCATTTAATGAATTCATTCAGACTTTCCAAACAGACAGCCGCATCACCCGAACATACAACCGCATATTACAAAGACAGTATTGGAACAATATTACCAACCGCCGTCATCACATCAAAGCAACTCGAAACCTGAACATCGCTCTCACTCAGAAACAGGATCCTCGCTATCATCATCTCGAAGTGCTGACTTTGGCTCATATTCAGAGAAAACGTTTCTGGATCGGTAATTCAATCAAAGTTATATTCATTGAAAGGATTCTATAATCGACAAAAACCTCATAGCTTCTCACAGCTCTTTTATAGTGACTACGTTCATGACTAACAGATATCATTATTGTACGACATATATATGATCCAGTATCATTATCCAAATATTCCTGTTTAACTCGGTCGGGTTTGAATATAGCTAATCCAATCGTTTTGACTCGATCATCGTTCCAGGACTTACGTTACCTCTGAACTTTGCATTTATCTATAAAATTTCTATCTTTTGTGACCTAAATTACTACATTTTTAGGTTTCTTGAATAAGAACTCCACTATGATCACCAAAGAAATGCTAGAGTTATTCTATACGAAGATAGATCCCTTGGCATATCGTAACTAAGATTCTTAAGATAGCCTAACAATTATATTGAATGCTAAGGTGTTGGTTGGTTGACATATGAAAGGAATTATTCAGATTTTCGAAAAATTTCAGGCAACTGAACGGTCATTCTACGTTATCAACTGAAATTGCTTACCTTCCTTCGAGTATTACTTCACCTGTGGGTAAATTTTTTCAGTTACTTTTGAATAGATATTTCAATAAGTTATATTCAATGTTCAATAGTTTCAATTTTTGATTTTTTTTCCATAGTTTGAATCGATTCAGTTTTATGCTTCACCAATTGATCACTTTCGAGAAATCAACAGCCTAAAAGGATGACTACTTATAGGATATGAGAAATACAAGCGACTAGGGCCGGATGGAGAAGAGTCGGAATTTACAGATGATAAAACTGGAATGGAAATTCTTCAGGAGCTTGATAGCGCACTAGAAGAAGACGAACAAATGTCACTGGAAGACATCCGGAAAGGAGCTAAGGTATCACTTACTTCGCTAGAATATAATCCAAAATTGATGTAACCAAACGGATGGAATCATGCTGAGAATTGCTCTGATCACACAGGAAAATCCATACAAGAAAAATTTTTTCAGTCACGCAATTTCCTGGAAAAATTTGAAATCCTTGAAATTGAAATTTTTTGGAAAAAAATTCTTGAATTTTTTCTTACATAAAAAATTCATATTTAAGAACCAAGCAAACTTATTCAGTTTTTGTTGATCACTGATTTCTTACAGTTAGATGTAGTACAATTTTCTATACAGCAGTGTAGTCCAACCAGTGGTATGGGAATACATATTCACAGAATTTAATTTCAAGTGTGGTATTTTTTAAGAGAAATCGAAATTTCCTTTCAGGACACGGACTTATCGTTCAGACAATATGCGACACAGACATATGATTTGCTGATACCAGAGCCTGCAATCGATTACGATCATCAGACACGCCACAATCATCGATTTCTGATCAACTGTTCGTTAGTTTGCAAATATGTGATTTCCTGATCAAGAATTTCATAGTTTTCTGATTAAGAAATGTGTAGTTTCACGATTAAGAACTAAAAATTTTTTGATTAATTAGGAATTTTTGATTAAGAATCAAGAAAAACCACGTTTGCTCTCCAAAACTCGTATGAAACTTTCCGTTATTTTTATGAAAGAATTCCAATCCAAAAATTCCACCGCATAAAATGCTTCTCATTTTTAATGAAAAAAGAAGCATTTTTGCTTCTGTTTACAACATTTTTGATGAGCTTACAAGCTAACACTCCTATAAAATGTTATGCCATGATTATTTTATGGCATAACATTTCAATAGAGGTTGTAAATTGTCGGTCATAAGTCTAAAATCATTTCATGACAACAAAAATAATTGACAACTCATAGTACTTGAAGAACTTCTTATGGAACTTGAAAACGCACCAATTGAAAACAGCTATTGCCCTATTGAATCGTACACATCTACGAGACTGACTCAGTGCCATTGAAATTTTCCAAAGCCTCAAAAAAGTTTTCCATTTATAGGCTGTAAAAGCGAGTGCTATTTCTGCATCACGCATCCTGCATTTTTAATCGTGCTCTTCCTTGTTTACAAATCATAAAACTTAAATCTCATTTCAAATCTGCGCCATCAAACAATTTCTTGTGCAAAAGAATTTTCTTTTTTGCCGAAATCAAATTTAGAGGCAAACTTCGTAACAAGTCTGGTAAATGATTAGAAGGTCATTACTAAAAACAAACTTTCATCGACGATTTTCAATCCAGTAAATTTGGAATTTCAGAGCAAAAAGATAATCCTTTGAAAACAGTGCAGACAAAGTACAGTGCAGCACACTCGATGTTTACAGTGCACAAGATCTCAACTAACTTAGTGACATCTTCTGCTGTTGCTCTTCTTGTGGGACTTGAAAGGCACTTGTTAAAGGCTGCTTGTGTCCCGCAGAATCGTACACGACTGACTTACAATTAGTGCTTTCCAAATAGAACAAATTGTGTGATGAAGACAGAGACACTCATACGATCACAGCAAGATTTTGAATGCAGTGAATGAAGCACGATATGGGAAGAGAGACGATCTGAAATCATAAACGAGTAATTTTAGTGATAAAACTTTTGTTGCTTCATTTCAGAAATAGAAACGGAAATAGCATAGACTAAACTGATACCCAAAAATGATAGAAATATGAACAACAGATTGTGGTATCTGTAAATAATCAGAGCGTTTCATTGCACATTAACAAT